ACTGTTCCCTTCCTGGTCTGACAAAGCCCTGGATGGCTGACCTTTGAGGGACACACACGTTGGTTTGGGTTGGCCTCTGATCTCCGTGAAGGACTATGAGCCATGCTCATCTGTCTGGGAGCTGCTGCCTACTTCCTCCATTATATTTAGCTCTTCGGTTATTTTCCTAATGAGCTGTCTGTTTGCCTCCAGCCTTCCAGCCAGAAAATGAATGTGTGCAAATTATAAACTAAGTACCCAGTGCTTGAGACCTACGAAGAGCTGTTCTACACATTCTGAAATCCACCCACTCGAGAGTTCTTGCTGGGGCTGTGTCTTTATTCTGTTTGCCCCGTTGGCTGGGCAGGATCACGACCCTCTGGCTTAGAGCCCTACGTTCTCTCAAATGACCACCTCCATAGCTGCCCTTCCCCACAACCGCCCCGCCTTGCTGTCTGCTAAGGTAGCCAAGGGGCAGATCAAGCATGAGCTTACTGTGGTGGCAATTCAAAGAGAAAGGAAAAATTAAACATATTTTAACAAACCAGGTAATGACCACGGGAGAATTTTTCACGATGATGATGTGATTTTGACTAGTCTATTTTGAATTGTGTCTGGTGGGGTGGGAGGAGAACGAATCTATTTTTTATTTGTGGGAACTCTAACCATTAGCCTCTACTTCTAGCATCCCACAGACTGGGTTTTGCCCTGCTCCACTCCTCAGTGAATCTCCCACCCAGAGTTGATGTGACTCAGAGAATTCGATCCTGTTGGAATCCTGTGGGACTAGGTGAGCCTCAAGCTGCCTTAACGTAGACTTTTCAGCTCCTCTCGCTTTAACCTTGCACAGCCCAAATAATTGGAAACTGTAGAAACTCACTACTTTCCATCTTTAAAGCCAAGTGACATTTTTTTGGGTGGTAGTTTGGAATTTTTATTTTCATGGAGTTGATGAACACCAAAATATATACATGGTTATGTCTTCACGGATAGAATATTGCACGACCCACACCTCTCATGTCTTATAAAAGACTTACATGCATATTTTAATTAGGTCCCATTATATAAAATGGACATTGATATTTTTAATTTTAAGACCTAGGAGGTGCTGTGTAATCAAGCTCTCTCTCTAAATCATAAGAAGTAGTTTGCACATCATGGTGGATAAACTCTTTATCAGTATGTCCATGAGAATCAACACAGATGGGCACATGGCTGCTGAGCAGAAGTGGCTTTCTGCTCAAGGTGACACCAAAAGGTTGATTTAGACACCTAGAGAAGATTTGGAGTTGATTTAGCAGCTGTTAGATACTGCCAAGTACTGAGTGCTTGATTTTTAAAAATCTTTATTAAATATATATATTTATGTATATATATTTGCACAAAAAATAAACCACATGGAGAGTGTACATCTTTTAGAGGACTTACATTAGCACTTCTTAGGGGAAAACAAAATGTTACCCAGAGCATTTGAGATACAGTGTAGTTTTTTTTTAAGACTTTATATATAGCTTTTAGAAATAGTTTTGGAAGTAATAAGATTACAGACCAAAAATTTAATGACTTGGTCTGCAGTGACAATTTTAAACTTCTATTTTCAGGGTTCAACCAACCAATACACCCCCTCTCCCCACCTAGACCTGTTTTTCCCCCGGTAACTTTGTGCTGGGCAGGAATGGAGGGACAGAAGTTGCAGGGTCTGCTTGACATTATGTGCCTACTTCTTTTCTAGCCCTGGCAGGAAGAAATCTTGGGGCTTGGGATTTTATAAACATTAGTTTCTTACTCAACGCTCTAGGGAAGGTAAATTCCAAGCCCTGGCAGAGGGGAATACGCCTCCCAATTTCCGAAATTGGACAGTCAGGCCTAGTTTGAACCATGGGCTCCAGCTGCACCAGAGTAAGCCTGGGTGGCCACACTGTGGCCACATCAAAGCAAAACACACATGCAATTTGGGGACATTTGCCCTGCAAGGTTTGATGGGAATGCGAGTGGGAGGAGAGGCAGTGACAGTCCGTACCTCTTAATTCTGGGTGCCCCATCACCCTGGGACCCCCAGGATGAACTGCTTCCCTCTGTGGTCTGGGACTCACTTGTCGAGACAAGAAGCTTGTTCAGCCTCACCCATGAATGAAGAGCAGATGGAGAAGTAAGCCTCACTGACCACTGCTCCCCAGAGTCATTGCTCTCCCACACCCCTCATGGAAAGCTCCCTACTGGGGGAAAAAAAAAATCAATCTTCTGGCCTTTAAATCTGCCTTCTGTCCAAGTCAGAGGTTGCCAAGCACAAAGCACTATGGGGGCTCCTATCGCAAAGCTAACAGGGCCCGAGCCACCGGAAGGAGAGGGCTGCTCTTTAAAAGCTTTTAAATGCTGTTATATTTTTACAACCACTTACTGAAGAGGTGAATTATTTTCTACTCCTCCTTCCCCAGAAGCACAACCATTAAGGTTACCTGGAAACCTGTCCAGGAAGCATGTGGCAAATAGCAACCAAGCAACAGAAACATCCGGATCTGTCCTCTAAAAGGAGATGGTATCAACAAGGTCATATTTGGGTAGAGGTGGACTAGGAAAGTTTATGGGTTTGCACGTCCTGGCTATTTGGGGGGGCTGTTTACACATGCGATTGGGAAGGGAGTTTGTTCTTAGCTTAGCTAAGATGGTCCAAGTTGGAAAAGAGATTTGAGATTGGATGCTCCCCATACTAAAGACCACCCCATGGAAGAAAGAAGCACAAAGAGAACAAAGAGGCATTGGAAGGCACTGCCTCTGATCTAGAACTTCCAGTCCATTAGAGATGTGATGTACACAGAGAATGACCCGAGGGCAATTTTTTTTTTAAGATTTTATTTATTTATTAGAGAGAGAGAGAGCACAAGCAGGAAGAGTGGCAGGCAGAGAGAGAGGGAGAAGCAGACTCCCCTCGGAGCAGGGAGCCCCATGTGGGACTTGATCCCAGGACCCCAAGATCATGACCTGAGCCAAAGGCACACATTTAACTGACAGAGCCACCCAGGCGCCCTTCAAGAACAATTTTTAAGTTTCAGAAGCACGATGACATACCATAAAACAACATCTCCTAGGGAGACAAGACTTCATTCCTAAAGTGATTTCCAATAAGGTCTTGAGAGAACAGCAAAGAAGATGGGAGAAAAGATAGGGTGGGGGCAGCTGACAAGGTATGTTCTCCAGACTTGGGCTCTGAGGACATGAAACAAAATAATGAGAAGAGGGTTGGACAAGAAATTTACAGTGTTGTTTATTTTGATGTTTTAAGTTTCATGACTTTATGGGCAAGAAGGGGAAATGACTCCTCTGTCTCTTCATGACCTTAGCTAGTGGAAAAAAAGCCTTCACATTGTGAAAGCTGGGTTTGGTTTTGTTTTGTTTTTTACTGTTTTTGCTTTTTTTTCTTTTCTCTCTCTCTTTTTTTCTATTTCTAAAGAGCTTATTCCTAATGTGTATTTCATTTCCAACCAACACCCTCTCTATGTCAGATGAGGTGATAAAATTTATAATTATAGAGAAGCAAAGCTGTGACTCAGCTCTTTCACCACGCAGCCTTGCCCACAGACGCGGGGCTTTGGGAACTCCAGCTGGCCTGAAAGCAGCAGCAAGGAGAGGGGACGGTGGAAAAAATGCAGGATGAATACTTGCTGTACCCATTCCCTCTTGCTTTACCCCAGAATATATCCTTCTTCTGCTTCAGCATTAAGAAAGCTAATTAACAAAACTTGTCATTCTGAAAGCTAAGCTATCTGCAAAACCCTGTTTTCTGAAAAACCAGATTTTTTCCCCCAAATAATTGTCCCAATGAGGCAAGCTATGGGACAATTCCTGGGCTTTCCACACTGAGGGCTTTCCGTTCAGTAGCCAGCAGTTTTATCAGGGGCATCTGGGAATCTGCGTGAGTCAGTAAAACACGGCCACGGATACTTGAGCAACCATGGAGAATGAGACACTAAAAATACAGACAGGAAATCTCCGCCACACAAACAATTCCCAGGAAGGGAAAGGGGGCGAGTGATAAAAGCCTGGCTCACATGCCACACACCTCTCAAATTACATAAAACCAGTTCTGTCAACCTGAGAATGCCAAACAATATTCCAGCCAGCCTCTTGGCCAGCGTGTTTCACAAATGTTGGACCCATCAGATACTAGCACTCAGAGAAGAACACTCACCTGAGCACTGGGGGACATGGCCAGGGGCTTGGCCCTCTTGACTTGTAGGAGACACCTCACCTCAGCCCCTCTGAAAATGGAATGAGGCACATATCAGGCCTGCACCTGGTCTTCCCCGCTCACCTCACAAAGGGCATGAGGTGTTTAAAGGCATGAGCTGCCAGCTGGAATCTTCAGTACACCTGTGATATATACCATGGTCTTAAAAAAAATTCACATAAGCCGTCTACAAGTCCTAGCTTCACATTCTCCAAAATGATGTGAATTCACCCTATTTATTCTACAAAGGCCACATAGTAAAAACGCCACACCAACGCATGGTTCTTTGAGTGAATACCTGTTGTTTCTGGCCTTGTTCTTATCTACTGCCCTGATAAATCAGGATCAATCCTAATCTCTTGGCATAGTTCCCCTTTGCATTTGTTTCCCACATAACACACACACAAAAACCTCACAAACTTATAAAGAATCCGAATTCTTTCATTTTCAACTCCAAAACAGGTCTCTGAGTGAGCAAGAACAGGATAGAATTTACATCACAAGCTAAGAATTACTCACGACACTGCATATATCCACGAGAATATATTACAAATACAAGCATCATTCTTCGTGAGTGCCCTAAGGGGTGGGAATGGGGGTGAGTTTATTTGAAATAAGCTAAATAAACTCTGCTGGGCTTGGTTTTCAAAGTGTTTATGCTTTTGTTTGCTGACTCACCTGAAACCTCCATGTCCTTGTGCCTGAGAAGTGCTCAGTGCTTATACTCACGCCCTTCCTGTGGACCCCCACCCAAGTCCACTAAAGCCAGAGTCCATGGGACAGAACCCCTCCCCCCATGAGCCCTGGAAGGAAAAGGGCAATCTAGAGAAACCACAGATTCCCTACCTTCTCCAGGCTCCAAAGATCATTTTTCTCAGCAAAAACCTACGGGAACCAAAAATAAAAAACCAGAAGCAATACATAACTACAAACACAAAAACTTTAACGAGACATAGAGACTTCTGTAGGAGAAGCCTTAGGGGGAAGATTGAGATTCGTGATTTCACAGGGTGTAAAAGGGGATCGGACACCTATAGGAAAAATCCTGGAGAAACAACTAGCCAAGGCCAGGAATGAGGATGTGGGGAACTTCCCCAGAATCTATTTCCCTCTGAATGTGGGAGAAGAGTCAGAGGAACGCGCTGGCAAGAGGCAGGTAAGAGAACCCCCTTTGTATGGCTACCCCAGTACTTCAAGGCCAGGCCAGCTGCTGCTCCCCACCAGACTCCTGCAGGTGAAAGCCTTTCCTGTGCCCCCCTCCTGGCAAGTTACCAAGTTAACTCTCTTCAGGTGCTTCTCCTGAGGTGAGCCCAGGGCATCATTCACACTCCCTGTTCACTTAACTCAAACCCTTCTCAGGCTTTCCAGATCTGTTCTCTCTCCAATTCGAACCCCATCTTGCGTCTCTTCCCCCATACCAAAATTCTGCCATAATCCTTAGAACAGGGAAGCCTGGGTGGCTCAGTAGTTGGGCGCCTGCCTTTGGCCCAGGGCATGATCCTGGAGTCCCAGGATTGAGTCCCACGTCAGGCTCCCTGCATGGAGCCTGCTTCTCCCTCTGCCTGTGTCTCAGCCATTCTCTCTCTGTGTGTCTCTCATGAATAAATAAATAAAATCTTAAAAAAAAAAATCCTTAGAACAGATCAACTCCAGTCATCTCCATTTTTTTCTAGGTGCTGGAGGGGGTGGACAACAACTCTGGGCAGGTCCCCTCAGTACACTCCCTCCTCACTCGCATTTCTTGCTCCCCCTCAGACCAAGTCACCGTCTGCAAGAACAACCCCCTCCTGGGCTTCCCTCCAGGATAACATTTTACAAGTTTCCCTTGAATTTCTAAAGGGCGTGCTTTGGGACGCATAAATAATATACCAGGCAAACCTACTTTCGGAGCTTAGGGCGACGACGACGACGACGACAACAACAACATCTCAGAATACAAATCTGTCACGAGTGGGTTTATAAAGATAAAAGTGCTCCTGAGATAGTGCAGTCTCTTGAGTGAGCACAAGTAGAGCTGGTGCCCCCGGGGTCAAGCGCGGGCCCAAAGCGCGGGCCGCCGTTGACGCAAACTGCGTCTGAGGCAGGGCCGCGGCCCGAGGCGTCGCAGCGACCCCTGGGGCCTGGAGACGGGCCCGACCCGGCGGTGAGGCGGCCGGCAGGACGCTTCGCTCGGCCCTGGGCGCCCCGCGGGTCTCGAGCCTCTGACGGAGGCCCCAGGGCCGCGGCCTGCCGGGAGCCTGGGCCGCGCGGTGCGCAGCGCCCCCTGCCGGGCGCCCCCTCACGCAGCGCGGGCCCGCGGCGGCGGCGGGAGCAGCAAAGCCCGGTCGGTGGCCCCGCCCTCGAGGGCACTCGCGACCCCCTCTTCCCTGCAGAGCGCGCGGTGTCCAGGTATACGGGGGGGCGTCGGGGGTCAGGGGGCGCCCGGGGGGGGCCTCTCAAAGGGAGGAGGGTGTCACGGTCGCCCCCGCCCGTGCCGGCTGCGCAGCGAGCTCCCAGCTGACAGACCCGCCGCCGCGAACGCGCCCATTTAACCTCCTGCCCGGTGCACGTCGCTAGAGGTCGCGGCCTGGCTCCCCTGGAGGAATCGCTCATAACCTGACCACGTCGCGGGAGGACCAGCAAACTAAGGCGTTTTCCCCGCTTTCGAAAGACGTCGCCCCCACGGAAGCAAAGCCTCGCCGTCCGTGGGCGGCGGGGTGGAGGCCGCGACCCGGGGCCGAGAAATCCAAGAAACGGGAACACTCGCACCTCAACGCCTGCCCGGCCGGGGCGGGCCTGTCGGAAAACTCAGACGAACCTGGCGCGTGGGCTCCTGTCGCCTGCTCCTTGGCTCTTCGGAGCCAGGCGCGCGCGTGGCACAATTATGAGGTGACTCTCCCTCCCTCAGAGGTCCGCGACCTGAAGCCGTGGGCACTTGGGGAGGCAGGAGGCCTGCAAGACCTGAGCAGAGGCGCTCCCGGGGAAGGCTGCCCCCTCGCCGTGTCGTGTGCAAGCGTTTGCGGCCAGCTCTGGGGATCCAGTGACCCACAGCCCGAGCCTCCGGGACTTTCCTGGCGGCCGGAGAATCAAGGCAGCAGCGTGGTGAGGCCCTACTATGCCAGGCGGCAGGCTAAGTGCCTTTTCTTTCCTCATCTAGTCCTCACCAGGGCCCTAGAAGAGCCGGCACTCTGCTTAGTCAGCCCTGCTTTACACAAGTGGAAACTGAGGCCCAGAGAGTTTAAGCAGCCTGAGGTATGAGGATAGGACTCAAACCCAAGTCTCTGTGGCCCAGAGACGACGCTCCTGATGCTCGCTGCTTCCCAGCTGGTAGCTACGCGTTGCTAGGCCGTGAACTATAGTATATTTTACTTGTTATTTCAAGGCCAAAATGACTCATCAGCCACATGACTACACCACCCATTTTCACTGACCCCTCGAGTATGAAAGCAGGACTTGAAGAGCTTTCGTTCACTTTGTTTGGAGCCAGGATGACAGACCAAGAGTGGTTGGAACACACAGTGCTAGGTCAGAGGTCAGGGGACAGACCTGGGCTCTCCCGGCAAAAACAAACAAGGCTCTGGGTGCCATGGTGGGGGGCGGGGGTCACAGGCTGGGGGTTGCGCTGTGCCTTGGACCAGATATGAAAAGTGGCTTGCCCCATCCTGGGCAGCTGGGGCTGGTGAGGGAAACGCCGTCCTGGATCCAGCTTCCAGTTTGCCACATACCAGCTGTGAGCCTGTGGCACAGACGTGAAGGGCAGCCTGTGGCAGCGCCGTCTCTGAGAACTTCAGATCCGGCCAGAGCTTCTCACTGTGAAGTGGCGATAATGACATCCATGCGAAATTGTTGTCAGGAAACGTGACTCAGGGTGGGAGAAAGTGCTGTTATTCTCCAGGGTCCTTTTTTCCTTTTTTTTTTTTAAGGTTTTATTTATTTATTCATGAGAAACACAGAGAGGCAGAGACATGGCAGAAGGAGAAGCAGGCTCCATGCAGGGAGCCCGATGTGGGACTCGATCCCAGGACTCCAGGATCACGACCTGAACCGAAGGCAGACGCTCAATCACGGAGCCACCCAGGCGCCGCAGGACTCCAGGGTTCTGCAGATATAGCTGGAGGGTTATCAATTTCACATTAAAAACAAAAACAAACAAATGTATTAATTTTGGCATGCACTTTTATGAGAAATAGTAAACAGATAGTATCTGTGGAGTCTCTTGCCCTCTGGTAAAAACTTTTGGACAGTTACAAAGTTTGAGGTTTCTGAGAGGCAGCGTGACCTGCCCAGTACCCAGAGTGACATGTTGACCAAAGCCGTCCCACACAGCCCAAGTTCACTTCTACCAACAGCAGCGCTACTGTCCCTATTGGGCCAACCAGCCCTGAAAGCAAAGAGCAAGTAGTGCCAGGTTTACATATAGAGGCTGTGAGGAGTGCAGGAGGGAGGAAGGCGAGAGAGGAGTGAATCCTGGAGCCCAGGATTATTCATGAGAGACATAGAGGCAGAGACACAGGCAGCGGGAGAAGCAGGCTCCATGTAGGGAGCCCGACGTGGGACTCGATCCTGGGTCTCCAGGATCAGTCCCTGGGCTGAAGGCAGCGCTAAACCGCTGAGCCACCCGGACTGCCCGAGCCCAGGCCTCCTGTGGAAGCAGGGCACCAAGGGCCCTCCGGCCTCTTTCTCCCTGGCCTCCTGAGAAGGCCCATCCTCCCCCTGCGGCCCCGCTGGCACTCTGGGTGGCACAGGCCTCAAGCCTTCAGACAAAGGCCTTCTGTCTAGGAGGTGCTGGGAAACGCCACACAACACAACACATTTCTTTCTAAATTGATTGTTTTTCCTAAAAGCTATCTAAGTCCTGGAAAGCCATTTCCATGAGCTGATTTTAAAATACCTTATTATGGTATGTGAAAAACCGTCAACAGCCTGAGTGTCTAGCATTAGGGGAATGGCGAAGGACAGGCTGGGGTATTCCATGACGTCCATGGGAGTTCATGAACACACACAGAGAAGTGCCCTAAAGTAAAGGAAGGCTTGGGTGGGGCTCTAACAGAAAAGCAGAGAAAGAAGCTGCAGGCAGAAGTGTCTTCTGGTGGCATCTGATCAGCATTGAGCCTAAGGGTGTGATGCAGTAGTGGCGGATACATGGTCTTTTGCATTTGTCAAAACCCACGGAACTGTATAACACAACGATAAACCTTAATATAAAAAAGGGATTTCAGCTAATAATAGTGTTTAGGGGCACCTGGGTGGCTCAGCCGGTTAGGCAGCTGCCTTCGGCTCAGGTCATGATCTCAGAGTCCTGGGATCGAGCCCCAACATCGGGCTCCTTGCTCAGCAGGGAGTCTGCTTCTCCTTCTCCCCCTTTCCCTGCTCATGCTCTCTCTCGCTCACTCTCTCTCTCAGAAAAATAAGTAAAATCTTTTTTTTAAAGAGCGTTTAAATATTGGCTCATCACTTATAACAGCTGTGCCACCTAATGCAGGATATTAATAACAGGGCAAGGTGTGTGCAGGGAAGGAGTTTATATGGGAAGTATTTGTAATATCTGTCCAATTTTTCTGTGAACCTAAAACGGTTCTAAAGAATGAAGTCTTTTACTTTTGTTAACAAACTAAAAATAAATGAATGAAAAACCAGAAGGAAATAATCAAAATGCTAACAGTCCTGGTTTTTGGATGATGAGATTATGACTAATTTCTTTTTTTGTTTTTACTCTTCAAATTTTCTACATTCTTGTTTTGTCTGTTTTTCCTTATGCATCACTTTGCCAACCAGGTAAAACAAATGTACAGTTTTTAAAATCTTGCCTGGGGGGCAGCCCGGGTGGCTCAGCGGTTTAGCGCCACCTTCGGCCCAGGGCTTGATCCTGGAGTCCCCGGATTGAGTCCCACGTCGGGCTCCCTGCATGGATCCTGCTTCTCCCTCTGCCTGAGTCTCTGCGCCCACCCCCCCCCCTCTGTCTCTCATGAATCAATAAATAAAATCTTTTAAAAAAAATCCAGCTACCCTACTGGAGAGTCCATGTGGGGATCACATGGAGAGGGAGATGAGCCCAAATGAGCCCAGCCTTCCAGCCACCCCTGCCAAAGAAGCAGACAAATACATGGAGCCATACTGAACTATCCAGGTCAGATCAGCCACCATCTGGATGTCCTGAAGGAAGGACCTCAGTTGACTCCACATAGAGAATCACTCAGCTAAGCCCTGCCTAAATTCCCAACTCAAAAAATCGTGAAATACGATAAAATGGTTGATTCAGTCACTAAGCTTTGGGGTAGTTCATTATGAAATAATAGATCACTAGAACAGCTCTTAATAAATGTTTGTTGCACTACAAAAAAAAATAAATGTTTGTTGCTGGATGGATGGATGGATGGATGGACGGACAGATGGATGAAGGACCATTGTATTTCCTAGAGAAATGATGCCCAGAGAGCTAAAGAAAGTTGTCAAAGCTACCACGGTGCACGTTTGTCATTCACCCTCCTCCAGGATCTGAACCTCCTTCTTTTGGAGAATCCCCTCCCATCTGAATGTGGCTGGAATACAAGAGTCTAGGTCGGAAGTAGGTTACTTCATTTGTTAACTACATCCAGGACTGCTGTGAGAAGTCTGCTGTCATCTGACTCTTGCTCCTTTAAAAGATGGTTTCTTTCTCTCTAGCAGCTTTTGGACTTTGCTATATGAAACTTAAATGCTCTAAAATTTGTCTAGATATGGGTTTTTCTGTGTCTCTCTGTGTGGTACACCACAAATCTAGTCAATCTGAGAACTTTTGAAGTTCTTTAATTCTGGGAAATGTACCTCCATCATTTCCCCAAACATTTCCTGTATTTGGTTTTTAGTTTTCTCTTTCTCTGGGACTTCTGTGATCTGGATGTTAGCGTCTCTACTTCTTTCCTCTTTATATCTTAATTTTCTTTTTATATTATTGTCTCTTTCTCCTTTCTTGTTCCCTTCTGGGAAAGTTCCCTTAACCTTATCTAGTTCATCCTTCAACCATATTTATCCTACTAATTATCTTATATATTGTGTTCTTTATTTCAACTATTGTATTTTAATACTTACTAGTTCCACTTAATTCTTCCTATGATCTCCTATGCTAGTTTCAAGTTACTAATATAGGGGCACCTGGATGGCTCACTGGTTGAGCATCTGCCTTGGGCTCAGGTCATGATCCCGGAGTCCTGGGATCAAGTCCCACATTGGGCTCCCCACTGAGAGCCTGCTTCTCCCTCCGCTTATGTCTCTGCCTTTCTCTGTCTCTCAGGAATAAATAAAGTCTAAAAAAAAATCATTTATATATTCTCATTTTCTTTAGGATATTTATCTCAAGCTCATTTTATATCCTCATTCTGTTCATTCTAATATTTTTGCTTGCACAGTACGTATTCTCCAATTTGGGGTACTTTCTGTCCTTTGAGCCTGTACTGAAAGGGGGAATCAGCTCCTCTCTGATACTGCACATTAGAAAAAGAGTTTAAGGAAAGGGAGGTGATGCACTCAAGCACTAGAATCATTGCTCCTATTCCCATTTGCAACACCTTTATGAAGAAGCACTATGGAGGCAGGTAGTTTGTTCATAATTTTTAAAATCTATGTTTCTTTCTTGCTTTTGTAGTTTTTTCAGTATTGATCTGGGGACAGGAGCTGCAGCCATGTCAGTTGGGCAATTGTCAGGAAGTACAGATTCCAAATAAATAATTAATTTCAACTAAAAGGACAAAGAGAAAAAGAGGAACTCACATGTGAAGCAAAATTGGTTCCCAGCTTGTGGGGGACCTGGATTGTTGGCTTTGAGTGTCCCTACTATCGTCTTTGCCATATAGTCACCCAGTGGTCCTTTTAGCTGACCTGCAGAAGCAGGTGAGCTGGCCACAAAGCAGTGGCAACTAGGGTCTTGGCCTCAAGTGATCCTGTCACATTTGTGTTTGAAGTTCCTACAGCACTCAGAGGTGGATTCAAAATTGCCTAAGACCTGTCTTCTTTGGTTATTTCAAACATGTACCAAAATGGCCAGAGCAAGTAGGAAAAGAAGGTGGACTGTCAGCTTTGGGGTGGACTTCACCAAGGAAAGCCCAGATTGGCTGCTGCCACTGTAGCGGTGATGGGCCAGGTGGACAGGGACAGGACACAGAGTTTCAGGTTACACAGAACAGCAGGTCTCAGAAACAATAGGGCCTTGTTCTGTACCACTTACTGAGAAGTGTCCTCGGTGTCTCTTTGCTCTGAGAAAGTCATTTCCTTGGTAACAAAGGCACGTCCTTGTGTGCTGTGCTGGGAGTCTACAGCAAAAGGCCAAGGCCATGGCGTGTATGCGCATTGCACTGAGCTCTTGAAACAGTTTTTTTTTGCAGATGCTTATATATCAATAAACTACCTTTTAACCCTGTTTCCTTAAAGAGTTCAGAGTTATAATTTTTTCTGACTCATAGTCCATAAGTTAGAAAGAATCAGAGTGACAAATCTTTTGAATGTCAGCATCTGAGCCTAACTAACACCTGAATGTTTCAGCTTCATCCCCACTGGTCAGGCTCAAAATCTTACTAGCCATTCCTCTCAATGCCATTGAAGATTCCTGTTCCTGACCCTGAATTCCACATCATACTTACAATTTTTTTTTTTAAGAGAGAGAGAGAGAGAGCACACGAGATTGCATGCATGCATGTGCGGGGTAGGAGGAGTGGGGGAGCAAGCGGCAGGGGACAAGGAGAGAAAGAATCTTAAGCAGGCTCCACACCCAGCATGGAGCCCAACGCAGGGGTGTGTCCCAAGACCTAGAGATCATGACCTGAGCCAAAATCAAGAGTTGTATGCTTAATGTATCCTAAGCCACACAGGCAACTCATGCTTATAAATTTTAAATTTGAGTTAGAAGCATTCTATCATCTAAAGTCTATGCATTGTTATTCATGTACACTCTTACAGAGATATAATTAAGATATCTCAGTGATATGTTGTTATACACAAGACACCAGTTGAGTGAATAAGATATAATATTTGTCACATAGCAGCGCTTTACATACACTAATTTATTTGTGCCTATCAACAAGTAAAACACAGACCATCAAACGTAACGGGCAACTGGCTGGCTCAGTGAGCATGTGACTCTTTTTTCTTTTTAAGATTTATTTTTTAATTTAATTTTTTAAATATTTTATTTATTTCTCATGAGAGACACAGAGAGAGGCAGAGACATAGGCAGAGGGAGAGGCAGGTTTCATGCAGGGAGCCCGATGTAGGACTGACTCCCAGGACCCTGGGAATCACACCCTGAGCCAAAGGCAGACACTCAACCACTGAGCCACCCAGGCATCCCAAGATTTATTTATTTGAAAGAGAAATAGCATGCCCAAACACATGAGCAGAGAGAGGCAGAGGGAGAGGAAGAGAGTCTCAAGTAGACTCCCCACTAAGTGTGGAGCCTAATGCAGGGCTTGATCCCACAATCCTGTTATCATGACTTAAGATGAAACAAGAGTCAGAAACTCAACCAACTCAGCCACCCAAGTACCTTGAGCATGTGACGCGTCATCTAGAGGTTGTAAGTAAAAGCCCCACGTTGGATGTAGAGATTAGAGATTACTTAAAAATAAAATCTTTTAAAAATGTTTTTACAAAGAAGACCATCAAAGGTAATAAATAAGTGGAGAAGAGATGGAGAGATTGATGGACGAATGGATGAGTAGATAAAAATAAAAGTTAAGTCTATTGATTTGCCAGACAAAGGAACACAGTCTAGTGAAAAAAATTCACTGAGTAAGAGTTCACTGATAGGAAAAAGAGTATTTAAAGTCCTGGGGTAGGGAGCTGTTCACATGGTTCTTGCTAAATAAGGACTGAAATCTAATACCCTGGAGAGGACATAAGGAGTCCACGGGGTTTAAACCCCACAATTGGCTAAAACAAACCTTACTGCTCATTATTTAGGAAAGGCTTCCGTTAGGAGCACTAAGAAGAATCTAGGGTCTCAGGGTCAATACAAGGTCACGGTGCTTTATCAGCTCCATCTGGCCTTTGGTGACAAAGACATTTGTCATTGTGATCCCTTCTGGGCAAGCACTGCTATAAGCAGAAAATTTCCCTTTACATTCGTCACCACAGCCTTTAATAGAGTGCAGGTATTCTTAACCCCACTTTACAGAGCAGTAGATGAAGACACAGGAAATGTTAAGTAATCTGCCCAAGGTCAAGATAGAATTTGAACCTGAGCAGGGGAGTTCAGAGCCCACCCTTGAACCTGATCAGGGGAGTTCAAAGCCCACCCTTGTAACCCTTCAACTGCTGAGCACAGGTCTAACATCAATATCGATATATGTTGCTTATTTAAAATAATTCAAGCTATTTAAATTATATTTATCAAACTTATTTCCCCATTTCTCCTAAATTAAGTGGACAAATAGTAAGTCAAAGAGTACCACAATTAGTACTACAACTACACACTAGGTTTAACTTGAGATCTGCCTTTAACCTTGGCAAACTGCTTTGTACATGTTGAATATTTTATGAAGAAAAGATGCAAAAGTGAAGCATCTCTTGGAGTTAGGGAAAAGCTACATTGTTTTTTCTCATTTGGGGAGATTTAATTTTGAGAAATGGGCAATCTCTGATAAATCTGACAACTGAGAAAGTTGGCTAAGCGGCCTAATGGAGTTTTTTAACTCCAAAGGAGTATCACCCAAAATAATGTAATGTGACTTTCACCTCACCAGTGAAAATTGATAAAAAGGCAATTCCAAAAGAGAAGTTCCCAAATTTTAAAGATCAGTGATATGGCATTGGAATACATGAACTACCTCCCAAGATGATTATTTTAACAATAATTATTAGGTGTACATAGGTCAGTGTGTTTATTGCAAAACTCTGTATGATGCAGCATAAGTGATACCTCATATGTACCCCAAATTTAAACATACAGACAACTGCATGGCTTCCCTTCTTGCCAAGCCTATGGGTTACAAACCCAAATATAGAGTGTAGAGTAAGATTTCATTAGGAGAAAGAGTTCTGGGGCCAAGAAAACCATAAGTACAGGACTATGGCATCTTTGAGGCTTTTTACAACACAAAGATTCTCAAATTCAGTATTTCAAAAGAGCTTCTGGCAGCTTGAATTATTTTTCAGCAATGAATTCACACTGAATCAGCTATATTCTTTCTCTAAATTTCTCTTGTAAGTGATGATAATCATTTATAGGCTTGTATTAAGAATCTTGTCACTGAGAACTCTTTCCTTACACTCATTAGCACTGAGCTCCAGGCAACTGAATTAACTAGCTTGGAAAGTACCTTGGACTCCCACTTCACCAGGATGCAAATAACCAGAGAGCTCAGAAAACCAGATTTATTTTCTGCACACTGCTTTTCTAGAAGGAAGTGAAAAATGACAATATTATGACTATTGTTAATACTGTTACTACTAATAATCATAATAATAGCTACTATAATTGATAAATACTACTAAAGACTTCACATTTAGTTTTCTTCTTTATTTGGATTTGTAACGTGTTACTTGCCAGAATGTAAAGGGTATAGAAGAAAACACAGCATCAACAAATTAAATGTCTCTGTGTGTGTGTGTGTGTGTGTGTGTGTGTGTGTGTGTTTTCTTTCGATTCCTTTCCCCAGTCCCTTGGTCTCTCTCCCCAGAGACCACCACAATGATTAGTCCAGGATAACAAAACAAGTATGTATCGCTATCCCGTCAATAATATATATACAGATATATGCATTAAAATATGTGTGTACAGTATACATGTATGTGTATATGTATTTCCATACACGAATATTTTTTCTGTTTCCCATGTGAAATACAGTATTCCAGTGATGTCTTCTTTCTTTTAATATCTCTTAGTCAGTTCTTTTATTTTTTTTCCTGGTAGGATTTATTTATTTATTTATTCATTTATTTATTTATTTTTAAAGATTTTATTTATTCATGAAAGACAGAGAGAGAGAGAGACAGAGAGAGAGAGAGGCAGAGACATAGGCAGAGGGAGAAGCAGGCTCCGTGCAAGAAGCCCAAACGGGACTCGATCCCGAGTCTCCAGGATCACGCCCTGGATGGAAGGCAGGGGCCAAACCACTGAGTCACCCAGGGATCCCCTATTTATTTATTTTAGAGAGAGAGTGAGAGCGAGCAAGCATGTGAGCAGGGGCAGGGAAGGGGCAGAAGGAGAGAGTATCTAAGTAGACTCCTCAATGAACACATAGCCTGACGTAGGGCTTGATCTCAAGACCCATGAGATCAGGACCTGAGCTGAAACCAAGCCAGTTCTTTATGTCAGCCTCTTTCTTTTAATGGTTGCATGGTATATTATTTCTGGATGTATACGTTTTTAGAAAATAGAAACTTAGATGGGATAAAAAGTTTTTTATAGATTTTTTCCAATCTGTTACATTTATAGCACTCTATCATAATAACTAGTGTGCTTTATGATGACACTCATCCCTGTTGGAATCATTAAGAAAAAAACTAAAATTATGTTTA